GTGTATGCCTCCCTTTTAGCTATGAGACATTCTGGGATGCTTTTGGTGAGCCATGGCGGCTTTTGCGCCCTCCTTCTCCCTTTGATCCATGTTGGGATTACCTCCCTTTGGGCTTGGAGGATCGTCTCCTTAAGGAACGACCACTCTTCTTGGACATCTGACCCCCCTCCCCTCTGGGACCTCAGTGCCTCCCTGACTATTCTGCTTACCTCATTGAAGTCCACCCTCCTGAAGTCCAGGTCTGCTGCCTTGCTGCAGGCCTTTGCCACCTTGCGCTGGATGGTGAATTCCAGCAGGCGATGATCGCTGTCGCCCAGGTGGTCGAGCACCCGCAGGCCCCTCACCAGGTCATTGCCCGTGGCCAGCACCAGATCCAACAAGGCTTCTCCCCTGGTGGGGCTGTGCACCTCCTGGGTTAGATGGAGGTCCTGCATTTTGGCTAGGAACCTACGTGAGTGGTCAGACCTGGCTGACTGCTCTTCCCAGCAGATGTCTGGAAAGTTCAGATCACCCATGATAACCACGGCCTTTGACCTGACTACCTCTGTGAGCTGACTTCAGAATTCCTGGTCTAGCTTTTCCCCTTGGTTGGGTGGTCTGTAGTAGACCCCCACCGTTAAGTCTCTTTCCCTGCGACTGCCTTGTATTCTAACCCAGAGCACTTCTGTGTGCCCCTTCTCTGACCTTGTGCTACTTGATGAGGATGTGTATTCCTCCTTGACATAGAGCGCCACACCCTCGCCTTTCCTCCCTGTCCTATCCCTCATGTACAGCCTATAGCCCTTGATATTCACCGCCCAGTCGTGTGTTGGGTCCCACCACATTTCTTTGAGCCCCACTATGTCTGGGTTGGTGTCAGCTAGCAGGAGGGTAAGTTCCTCCTTCTTGTTCCCCATACTACGTACGTTTGTGTAGAGGCATTTGAGGCCTCCTGAAGATGTGTGCGCTGGCTTCCTAATCTCAGTACTGCCCTGGCCCCTGTTGCTTACCTGGGTATTTGTTCTGCTTGTCGTTGGTCTAGGCTGGGCTGTTCTTGTGGGTGCCGCTTGGTTTAGTGGTTCAAGGCTTCCTCCACCCTCATCTTCCCCTTCCCGCAACGAGCCTAGTTTAAAGCCCACCAGCCGAAATCAGCCAACCTAGAAGAGAACACATGCTTATCTTTGGGGGAAAGGTGAAGCCCATCCCACCCGAGTATGTCTCTTGTCCTGATGTGCAGGTCATTGTCTATGAAGCCAAAGCTGCTAGTTGGTCTCTCTGATGCAGGTCTCGTGTTGTCTTCCATGTCTGCTCACTGGTAGGACCAAAGAGAATACCACCTCTGCCCCTATCTCCCTCAGCACACCCCCCAGAGCACGGTAGTCCATCATCAGGTGATCAGGGCTTCTCCTGGCCGCATCATTAGTACCCACATGGATTAGGACCATGGGGTAGTAATCGGTGGACTGGATCATGGCCTGGATCATCTCCGTCACATCCTGAATCTTTGCTCCAGGTAGGCAGTAGACCTTGTGTGTTGAGGGGTCCTGGCGACAGATGGGACCCTCCATACCTCTTAGGATGGAGTCGCCTATGATGATCACTCGACGTTTCCTCCTCCGGGTGTGCTTAGCTCCTTCGGCCTGTTCGGAGTGCGGAGTTGCCTCCTCTTCGGAGGTTTCCTCCTCTCTTTCCTTCTCCTGCAGTGCCGCCAGGGCCTCGTACCTGTTCTCCAGCCAGACTGGAGGAACTGGTACTGCTTTGCTGCGAGCAGCCCTGGTTCTGGATGTGACTGTCTGCCACTCTGCAGTGGAGGGCACCACCCTGGGTGCTTCTTCCTTGGATGCATGGCTCTGCAGGGAAAGGAAATAACCGTCAATTTCATCCTCCGCCTCCCTGATTCCCCTCAGCCTGCTAACCTCCTCCTGGAAGTCCCTCACCTGCGCCTCCAGGGCCCTAATGCAGGTGCCTGCAGGACAGGTGTGGGGGTCCTCAATCCCTTCCCCCCTTTGAGAGTCCTGTAAGTGGACAAAATGACTCTTTCATAGCTACAGAGTTTAGATATTAATAATACAAGGAAAGAATGGAAGTGTAATTTAACTAAAAATGCTTCTGCCTTACCAGAGAAGAATACTGCTATTAGTCTTTGGTGGTTAAATTTCTCTGTATGCTGAGTGGTGAGGAGAGGTTGAGAGATCTGGATCTCTTCAGCCTGTACAAAAGATGGCTGAGGGGTGACCTTGTAGCCACCTATAAATTTATCAGGGGAGGACAGCAGGGAATTGGGGATGCTCTGTTTACCAGAGTTCCCCAGGGAGTAACTAGGAATAATGGGTGCAAACTAGTGGAGAGTAGATTTAGGTTAGACATTAGGAAGAAATGTTTTACAATAAGGGTGACGAGAGTCTGGAATGGGCTTCCAGGAGAGGTGGTACTCTCACCTAACTTGAAGGTCTTCAAGAGGAGGCTTGACAGTCACTTGGCTGGGGTTGTCTAACCTCGGTCCTCTTTCCTGCCAGGGACGGGGTCGGACATGATGCTCCATTGGGTCCCTTCCGACTCTATAATCTATGAATCCGTGTAGTTTGAGATGTCCATGGGACAGAGCTTGCTCTCTGATGAGCCACTAGATGGCAACCTTCCCCTTGAATCAAGTCTTGGCATGGTGTGTGTTTTTCCCATCTTGGCAATAAGACAGTACTAAAATTATGCTCACTTGTAACCATTTGAAAGCTTTTCTGTTTCTTGAAGCATTCAGGGTTTCAGTCCTGATGTCTCTGCTAGTTCCAATGTGGGTTGATTAAATTGTCAGTCTCATCCTTTAAGTCAAAGGTAGCCAACCGATGGCATGCATGCCCCAAGTGGTACAGGCAGCCTTTGCATGGCATGCAGCAGACAGGGGACTGGACAGGCAGCATAGTGGCAGATAGGACAGAAAGCAGAGCAGCAGATTGAAGGAGAGCAGGGCAGCATTTGGTGGGGGTGGCTAGAGTGTGGTGTGCCTATCAAAAAGGTTGGCCCCTCTACTTTAAGTATTCCCTTTAGGCATATGCCAAAAAATGGGGGTTCTGTATCCTATGATTTAGATATATCATCCGTTCTGATTTTTTTCTTGAAAGCACACTTCAAGAGACATGGTTACTGTTTTCTAGATTTTTTTTTTTTCAGGCAAGCAGTGTGGGGTTAAAAGGGGAAAGCACAGGCTGAGATTTTAAACAGTGACTGACAGGCTTTTAAAACCAGTATTTTGGAGGGAAGGGTATTTACCTTTTACAGAGACCAGATTTTTGGTGAATGGATGTTGCCCACTTCCTTAGACTCCAGCCCCTTCAAAGTGTTTTGAGTTGGGCATCCAGAAATGATTGGGTGAAATACTGGCTACTGTGTGCATGCAGAACTACAGTACAGAGCACCACCCCTTTCCCCCCCAGTGCCCTCTATAACATGAGCTGCTGGGGTCTATTGCTTAAATTTAGTCTCAATGCAAGCAATTACTTGAGTGAACTGTTTCTTCTCCACAGCCCTTCCACCTGGATGGCTGTGTTCAACGCCCTGCCCACCATCTGCTTTGGATTCCAGGTAAAGCTGCTCCCAGAAAAGCCAGACAGAGAGGATGTGTTAGGACCAGGAAATGACAATCCAGTTTGGCTTCTTTTTGGGATTGTTTCAGCTTGCCCCATACTGCAGCTTGGTCTGGCTGTAGCACTGGGCTGGAGCATGGTATGGAATAAAGACCAGAAAAGAAGGACACAAGGGAAACCAACGGGATTCTCAAAATGGTAGAAGCTAGAGGTGGGACTGGCTTATTGTGCTCCAGAGGGTCCCTTCTTGAAAGCAGTGCTGGGTTGTTTCTTAGGAGACATTATCAAGCCTTGTGTTCAGCCCAGGTCTAATTGTCCCAAGTAATTTAACTTCTGCTACTTCCCTTTTAAGATGTTGGCCTGGAAGTTCAGCCAACAGCTTCCCTCTAGTTCAATTTTAGTTGCTCCGAACTATACCCACTGCAACAGGATTTTCAGACTTATCTGCTGCACCTTCTAGATGAATAATTCTTATCCAGCTGAAGGAAGAAGTCTCCCAGCTGAGCCTCCTGCTTATTGAATGGTGCCCTGGCACAGACTCCTTGGGGCTCCTGGAATCATCTGGCTGAGCAATGGCAGCTGAGGAAGGTCAGCTTCACCATTGTATCAGTTTTTTGCAACAGTGCCTCATGCCCATCAGGGCCAGCACAAGGCCTGGTTTTGTGCAGGGTGGTGCCTGGGAATAAATTTTAGGCTTAGCTTGAGGAGCATGTGGGACGTGGACTCCTCCTGTCTTTGTCCACAAATAAAACCAGGTGGCTTTTTAACTGTTACTCCCTGCTACCGTTTTTTCCCCCAATAATGGATGGGGTGTGGAAGGGCTGCTTGCTCCCTTGAGTCTTTTTTTTTTTTTTTTTTTTT